AAAGAAAGAAAGAAAGAAAGAAAGAAAGAAAGAAAGAAAGAAAGAAAGAAAGAAAGAAAGAAAGAAAGAAAGAAAGAAAGAAAACAATAATAAAGCATGTGGATTTTTGTATTGTTTGTGCTGTATCAAGAGTGATGTTCATAAAAACTCAGGTTCTTACTTAATTGTCTTGGAAATCAGTTTTGAGCATTTCACAGAGCATAGGAAATCTTCATCATTTGCAAGTTATAGTATGTGTGTGTTTTTATGCAAGAAAATACATCAGTCATTTGTGTTGTGGTAAAAATCAGTTGTGCTTTCAAGTGGGGTTTGACCTCTGACCTTCTTATACGAGTCAGGGTTGGTGTTGAAACTTAGGTACTAAATATTGGTAATTTGGATCCCTCACTCAATAGCCAATCCACAGTTTGCACAGCACCTATCGATTTTAGGGGAAAAAACAAAGATTTCCCAATGCAGATAGCCAGTAGTAACTCATTTATCGGTTGGACTTGGCTAAGAAAGTAGGTTGCTTCTTCATTGGTTCTTACTTGTTTATGTAAGAGGTCTCTGGCCTGTTATGGCAGCCAAAAAATAGAAACCCACTGGGTTCTGATCACAGGCGTCCCACCCCCTTGGTTTGATCTCTCAGTCACACTCCCGGCCTTTACTTTTGTTTTAAGCGGCAATTAGTGAACATGAGTACACGCTGTGTGATGCTAACAAGAATGGCATTGAAAACTCCATCAGTGGCTTCCGAACTTGTATGAAAAGGAGAGAAATGGTGAGGATGAGGTTAGATGATCAAAGGGATTTTTCTTTGATGTTGTACTGTGCTCTTTTAAGGGTTTGATCATGTGAGTTTTTGAATGACTGTTAGTACACAGTCTGCTTGGAGGCTGGCTGAACAGAGCAAATAAGTATGCCTGAGTTAGTGCGATAAAGGAAAACATCAGTTGAAGGGAAAAATCAATCAGTTTATAACCAGAATGAACATACATGAAGGTGTTTATTCGTATGCGGTCTCTTCTCTGCAACCGTCAATCAGAGAACAACATTATCTTTTATGTTATTTTATAATACTATTTTTGGCCATTTAATTTATTGGTAGTTAAAAAAAAATTGCCATCTCCAACAACCATTTAGCAGCTTTTTCTATAGTTTTATAGAGCAACTTATGATCTTCTTCAAAGATAACTGAACAGGTGGTATGAAACACAAAGCCATGAAGTTAATGTTTCTTTGTTTTAATTTACAGAATAGCTTGGACAGAAAATAGGATTACACTACCAAGTGAAATGTTCCATAAACAGTACCTTGGTAGCATGCCAGCTCTTAAATGAGATATGATGGAACACAAAGAAAAACTTCCCACCTGAGCCAAAGTGAAGCACCTGTTCTGATGGTCATCATATATAAACACGTCAAACCTGCCACTTGTGGCTGCTCGTGAAGGCATTGTGTTTTCCCCGCTTGAAACCGTTTGTTAATTTACTAATATTTTTCTTCTTTCAGCACTTAACTTTTTAAAAACATAAATTTTCCAAGTCACCACTTAGGTATTTGCTTTTTGTATTGATGTATGCTTTATTTGTGTGTGGTGAATTAATGTTTACATTAATATTTCAGTTCAAGCGTTTATTTTTCTTTTGGTTATTGATTTGTAAATGCGTTAGAGTAGATTCCGCCCCAGTGACCCAGCCTTTTACTTCCTCATGCTGTCTTTTTGAAGGAGTACCACACCCACCTCTAACTGATCATTGATATCCTGGCTTTATAATTGATATTGCAACTGAATTATCTTTTGTACATATAAAATATAGTTCAATCCACTATTTTCTCACAGATTTGTTTTATAAATGGCCATGTTGTGGTAGTCTAACAATTGCTGCCCCCTAGTGAACCCCATGTTGCAATGGCAGAAGACAGACACTGCTTTCTTTTAGGAATACTGTAGACAAAATGAATCAATAAAAGCAAACATCATTTATAAGTATATTTGAACAACTTCTTAATCTCAGGCTTTGTCTTGGATTTGAAAATAACTGATGCACAAGTCCCTATTAATTCTTTGTGAAGATTTATTTTCCCACTGTCCCGCTGTCAGCATTAACTTGAACTTTATTTGAATGGTTTGTTTATGATGATGTACAGCAGGGCAAGTTTGAAAAGCCTGATGTCTCTGTCTAAGCCCTCGTAGACAAGTTTGTTTGGGATGGCTGCTTACCAGGGCAGTAGTGTGGGAGGAGGACACGAACAGGGACAACGATGTGGACAAATGAGTGTTTGAGTTTCATTGTGGGAAAGATGAGAAGGGCCGGTGCCCAACAACAATAACTGAGATTGCATGTATTTGGCAAGACTTGGAATGAATTCATGTAGAGAGAAAGAAAAGAACTTTGTTTGCTCAAAGCCCGGGGAAAAAAACAAAAACAAAACAACAACGGTAAAGAACCAACAGCCTTCCTTTAGTGTTACTCAGATCCCAGACCTCAGCTTTATCCAGCACCTTTAGGTAAAAGTTATAATGACAAACAAGACCTTTGTCCTGAACATTTGGGTCAATTTTACAAAAGATGCAAATCAACAATATGTGACAGCATATTTAAGTCTAAAACTCTTTTAAACTAAGGCCGATACTGGTGTCTTTTGTATGTATCAGTGTTCATTTGGAAAGTTATAAATTAAAGTATGCAAATAAATACGAGTAATCTTTTTGTTTCTTATTTCTATTTTCCGATGCTTAGGTTCCTGTGTTTTATTCTAGTATCTGTCTTGACTTCCTGTGTTCTTCTCTTTCACTTGACTTCTGTTTGTTACTTCCTGAGCTCTTCAGTGTGATCAACTCAACTCTTTTCGCTTGTGTTGCAGAGACCATATGTCTCTGCAGCTGTTTCCCCTGTCTTCCTCCAGTGTGTTTTCCTTGTCTTTTCAGGTGCGTTCCTTGGTTTGTTATTTCTAGGTTTAGGTATTTTTGTATCCAGCTTCGGCTGCACCTTTTGTTATCCTTTGAAAATAAAACTTAGTTTTTCTTAAATTCCTGGTTTCCTCCTGTGTTCCTTCCCTGGCCCTTGCGTTTGGATCCATTCCCTCGCCACACCACAGGCAAACCGTGACACTGCGGGACTGGCCAAATCTTATACTGGGGATATTATATGCAAACAATGGTCTTCTGAATACATTTGATTTATTAGCTGGAATGAGATTATTAGACATCCCCCTTTCTAAGGTTCCAAGACATTCATGACATAAAAATAACTAGTTCTGAATTAACTTTGTATACCTTGTCTTGGGTGGATTATGAAACCCTTCTATCCATTGTCTATACCCACTTAATCCAATTCAGTTACAGGGGTTGGGCATAACACACCTGCCAGAACCAGATAGTTACACAACACAAATTGAAACCCAAAAAGAAGGCTGGTGCAGAATATGCCTCTGAAAAAAGGTCACAAAGAACAAGCAAACACACTCATAATTACTACAGTTACCCAGGATATATCATGTGTTCTCTTATCTGATCAACATAATTTCTTAATATGCATTTTTCTTTATTTCAACCCCCAGCACAGTTAGGACAAAAACTGTGAAGTTAAAGTTTTTAACTCTTTGTATTGGCACCCCAAATAATGAAGACTTTTGGGTGTTATTTCTTCACATTCTCACGGTACACATGTCACGAAGTGTTCAACTTTACTCATACTGAACTTTACGTAGACTGTACTTTTGAACTAAACAACTATCAAAATGACATGTTAAGATTACCTATTTGCATACAAGAATGTTTTTTTAAACTTCACAACTTGGCCTTAAATGCTCCAGTACAAATGTTTTTTGGCATACGGTGCAGAAATATACACATTTATAAGGAGTCAACAGTGCAAAACATGATATAGCTGCTGTTTGTGAGATGTCTGATTAAATGAATACCAAAGTACATTCTTATTTAATTTTTTTCTCAATGCAGTCTCAACATTTAATTTATTTCTCATTTGAATGATAAGAACGGTATAATATATGATTTACATGTAATCTTAACAAAGCATATGTTTTCTATTTTCTGTCTGTAGCCATCTTCCATTAGTGTTATATGTCAAAATAGATTTGTTGCAATTCAGGGTTTGCAGGAGTTTACTCTACAAACATAATTTAACAAGCACACTTTACTGCGGGCCGAAGATAAAGAGCTCAAATTACTGTATTCATATACATCATGCAGTCTTTGTGTCATCACATGATACATCACACAACACAAGCTATGGTGCAAAAGTTCACATGTGTTAATAAATGGAAAGGAAGAGTCAAATTAAAAACTCCAATTCATCACGGTTGGGGGAAATTACTTTAATGGCTGCAACACCTAATCAGTGAAGCATTTTCAAGTGTTCTGCTTCACCTGAGCTGAGGGGAAACTGACTGCTGGAACAGTCCTCTGAAGAGCAGTGGTGTGCATGAGGCCTTCAAACCACTTCCTGTCTGCTGGTTCGTCTGCAGGAAGTCACATGGTTGCTGCATCCTGCAGAAAGTGGCTCTGGGCTTTGATTGGGTAGCATATGTGCAACTATGGCAATGTTAATGCTTGATTTAAATTCCTAGAAATAATTGTGTAAAAATATAGTATGTGGTATACAGGATTGTGATAGATTAGATAAGAATGTAACGTTTCTTGGTTATTTGAATAATGATTAAAGAAAACATAGTTGATATGGACAATGATCGTTTGTCTTGACACTAGTTATTTGTGGTGCATCCTTTTTATCCATTTATCCATTTTCACACACAATATCATGTCTTGTAAATATGTAGGAGACTGCAACAACACATTTATGTAGCCTAACAAACACCCATAAAGCAAAAGGAACTACTAATTTACCTTGCTCTTTAAAAACAACGGGATAGACCACCTTGCGTGTTAACATTAATGACTGACCGACTAACTGACTGGAGGCATGGACCCAACAAGAGAGCTATCAGTAGAAACTTTCGAAAAGGTAATAAAACTTCTCAAAAAGCTGATTCAATACCCAGTGCAACAAAATAATTTTCTTGATTCTTATCTGCTTTGGGTAAACCTTTAAAAACAGCTCATAGAAATGTTATTCATATTAATAAAAGAGTTATGTTAACCATCAATAATGTCTAAAAGGATTTAGATAAAAATGTTTGTTGGTGTAAGAGAAGCAGTCGTTGATGACTATATTTAGGAAATTTAGTTTGATTCATGCCAAATAAAACATTGTTTTCCTGTTACTGGCGAGTTGACGTAAGGTAAAAGAACAGAGAAGATTAACATTTCCTGGACATTTTTCTTACTCTGTCAGTTGGAAGATAGCTTAGGTCCAGGATGTCTAAAGTTGGTCCTCGAGGGTCGCTGTCCTGCAGGGTTTAGAAGTTTCCCTACTCCAACACACCACATTCACGTCATTCCTTTCACCAGAATCAGGTGTTCCAAGGCAGGGAAACTTCTAAAACCTGCAGGCCAGCAACTCTCGAGGAATGTTTGCTAGACACCCCTGGCTTAGGTGATAGAGTTTGTGGGTGTCGTAAAACAACTAACTGTTGCTTTGGGGATTCAATTATTTTTTCAATATTGAATTATTCCAGAGCAGAGCAGTTTTTATTTCCTTTTAAGCTTCTTAGCATAGCCAGGATCTTTATCTGTTAAATGCAATGTTTTGGTGTCGCACAGTTTTTCCACAAAATAAAACAGCCGAATGAACTTCCAGGGGTAATTCATCATGTGTTTTCAGGATTTCCGTAACCAAAGCCTAATAATAGATGTCTAATTAAGGTACTGTAATAAGGATACTGAATAAATGTCTTGCAGAATTTGGCTTGTGTTTAGGTCTGATCAATTTCCTTAGTAATTTTCCATGGCCAACGTGTGCTTTAGTAAGTATGTTCTTTTTATACAGGTTTTCAACTTTATATTGCTTAACATCTTTAGCTCAATATGACTTGCAACAGAAATGCAGATATGTCTTTCTTATTTTTGGTGGTGAATATTTCCAGCTGAGAGCACTTATGTGTGCATTGTGTTTATCTAAGTCAAAGGTGACAGTGGTGGCCCCCTAACACTTGAACATTTGCAGAATCCATGTTTGTTCAGCAAACCAACTTCATTACTGTGTTTGTCCTTGTCCTGAGGGAAACAGACTGCACTGCTCTTTTCTTCCCCTCTTTATCACTATGTCGTCACATTTCTGGCAATTTGCCAACTGAGGTCCAAGGGTAAGGTACAGTTGGCGTCAACTTTTAAGAATTAGTTCTATGGCTACAATCTCAGTTTGACTTGTCAATTTGAAATTGGCACTCACACTCACTCTTGAGGTGCAGGTTATCTCCTGCTGACATGGCTTTGGTTGTCAGAAGCTATGTTTTTTATCAAAGAGTGCTCTGTCCACTTTTCACCAAGCTCCAGCTGACAGATAAAAGTTTGGGAAGAGTGGGAGACAGCGTTTTTACTAAGTGTTGGGAAAACAAGGGCTCTTCATAAAAAATGGGACACATAATACTTGAGATTTTTGCTGCTAGAGTGATAAGTACTTCAGGTCAAAGTGCAGGAAGTGTTGGAATTCTCTTGAGGTTGATACAGTGCTGACGGCCAAGGACAAACCATACTATTAGGCCCTCCACACATCCCTTTGGCATGTTATTTGCTCATTCAAACACATTTTTAAAACAGACATTTTTGCATGACACATACTGTAAAGAAACCAAAGACAGCTTATTTAATGCAAATGTCTTTCTTTGAGTATTTAACCTCAAGTCAGAAGTTAACTACAGAGCAAACAAGCCTTTGCAATATTACTCTCATAGGTGGTTTGGCCCTTTACACTGAACTTTTCTATCATGTTGCCTTTCTGAAAACTTCGGAACAGAAAAAGTTTGAATTGGACCACAAAAATGTGCAAAAACCCAATTAGTGTTTGAAAGTGTAAAGATCTATGCAGTTAGATAAATCCAAGTGGTCACAGCATAGGTTGCTTAAATAGATCAAGGATTGCAGTTAAGGAATTCACTACTTTCTGTCTTTGGCAATTAGCAGATTAAACCAAGTTTTTTTTTCTTGTGATATATCTTGTGTGGGAATTGTTGGGTTTCTGTAATTAACTTCAGAGTAGGGTCTGACCTGCTCTGTTTGGAAAGCGCTGTGAGACAACTGTCGCTGTGATGTGGCGCTATATAAATAAAATTGAATTGAAAATTGAATATCTGAGATTTACTGATAAAAGAACATCCCAAATTTAAGCATTAAACCCAATGCCATAAAGTGATCTTATAGCAGTTATAAATACAGTTATTATAACGTTTATAGTAATCTGTAAGATAACTATTTTGGGCTCCTCAGCCATGTTAAAGCACCGAGATTCAAGCAAGAATAAGTATAATATTCCCTTTAGTTTCACTTAGATCATTTTCGTTTTAATGCTCCTCAATTCAATGTTACCTTTCACCTCCGTTACACTAGCATTTTTTTTTTAATTTGACTGGGTTAATTATAGGTTTTGGTCAGACATGTGGCCCCCTGAACTGGTTTGGCTCCCCACATGGGACATTCTTGCCGAGCAGCCTCTCCCTCGAAGTCACACAGTGCGCAGGCTCGCGGGTCTTGGCTGTCAGGGCAAGGCAAATTGACAGTATGGCGGCGGAGTGCAGCTGGAAGGATGCTACTGTCTTCCGTGATGTTTCTATCGCCGGCAGCACGTAAATGGACTATTGACGGGAAAAAGAGAAGAGGATTTACACGCCTGTCGCCGTGAGCTCCCAAGATGGCCAGGCTCGCCGACTACTTTGTTGTGGTCGGTTACGACCTCGACAAGCGAGGTGGGTGCTCGGTTTAGCCGTCCCATTAGCATTTGCAGCAAAGTATTAGCCGTCAGTAAACATAAGGCGGGGAGGTAGGCGGGTACCGGCCGGGACACCATTCACAGCTGACCGATATTGAGCGCTGTCAATTAGGCGAGTCGTCAAATTTAGGCCGAGGACGCGCGGGCCTCATGGGATTAGTGTAATTGAATGCTAAACTGACAGGTGATGTCACGCTTTCTGAACAGAGAGTACACTAAGTGCATATCTCCATTACATCTCCGAACCTCAAAACATGTTTCACTTTTAACAAAACAAACGGTCCTACTCTGTTGACAGCAAAGTTAGGCTAACTTAATTTGCTAGAGCTAACATTAGCCCGGTTAGCTGAAAGGGGGGTGGCTTGTTTGGTTGAGCGTGATCTAAGACGGATTTAATTCAGTCGTTTCAGGGTTTAAACTGTTTCTTCACTCTTTCCCTAAATTACAAGCGTCACGGGGACATTAGATAATTGTTTTCTTCAAGCCAAAAGTTGCACAGAATGTTATGGCGAGTTGTCAGTGTTATTTCTGCAGAGTCCAGATCTTTAAATGTGGACCGTCACGCCACAATTTCTAGCCGGTAACGATTTAAATTTAAATCTGCAAACTAGAGATTTATGGTTCTTTTGGTCAGAATCGCTTGTTGTTTTCCTTGAGTGTATTTTGCATGGATTAGCCTAGATGGCTTTGCCCCTCCCTGAGCCCCCTAGCATCGGAGCTCAGTTCCTTTGCGTTGTTGGGACGGGGTTTGGACCGTTATCTGAGCCCCCTCCTCCCTCCTTTCAGTCTGAGCCTTGGCCTAGATCTTAGCAGTATAATGGCCCGTTTAATCATGAAATATTCAACTCGCCTATCCCATGGAAGCATGCAACGTGGTACAGTCTTTTATTTGGAGTGGAATTTCACTTATGATTTATTCATAAGTGGCAAATAGTAAGATGACAAGTTCTTTCCTGCGAGAGAGTGCCTAAAAGCAGGCAAAAAAGAAGCTTTTACCTGATGATGCTGGAGCAACCTACATAATATTTCTGATGGCAAGAGTGGCAAAATTGCATGCTGTAGTATGTTGTCCTTTTTTTTTTCCTGAAGGCATTGAATACAGGATGTTCTAAGGTGGACCCTGCAAACGCTGCAGAAACTTTGCTTCCTGTTCGGGTGTACTTGAATGCATTGCAAGTGGTGGAAGCCTGTAAAAAGCATCTGGAGCCAGACAATAAAGCCACAATGGCTTTAATGGATCAAAGCTCCCATATCTTGTTAAAAACAAACACTCAAGGATGATGATGGTTGTTGTTATCACCCTTTTTACTGTTGCCTCGCTGGTTAGTGTAGTCAGATGCTATGTTTCCAAGTGGGGGTGTTTTTTTTGTGGGAAACATTTCCAGCTGCCTTAAGGTTCTTTCCATTCCTATTGATATTGCTGTCATCATTTAGATGCAATATATCAAAGCTATCCTCAGATGTAAAAAATATTAGATTCTTTTGTCTTGTGCCTCACTATTGTCAAGACACATTCCTGCATAGATATGTATTGTTGTTCAAATATAGTGGGGAAGAGGTGGAGTTGAATTTAGATGTACCACAAACCCCAGCGTGTTTGGATGCAGTATTTTGTAGCTGGTTTATATTTTCCTTTCATCCCAAGATCACTGGATCGAAAAGCCTGCTCATCAGGAATGACCTCGCCTTGATCCTAGGAGTACAAGGAATTGTACAGCACAGTCGAGTTTCCTTTTGTCTCAGAATATTTCATACATCCTGTCGACGTGTTTGTGTGTGTGTGTGGTTAGTTCTTGATGGGTTGTTTCACAAGTGATTGCACCAATGGCTTATCAGACCTGACGTCACAGCAGTTCGTTTGCCTCAGATCGTCTTTACCAACAGAGCTTCTTTGCACCTGTTTTCATTTGGTTTCAAAGTGGGGCTTATTTCTTTTGACCACTTTAATATAACTTCTGATGGATTGTCTTCCATTCTGTTCATCCGCTTTGTGTCTTTAAAGTGTCATGTTGCTTAGATTGTGTGCAGATAGGGTGATGTGCAAGATCATTAGGAGTTCCTAGAACCAACATGGCAGCCATTGAATCGTCCACAGCCGCTGGGGTGTGGTTCTCAAAGCAAGAATCCGTGAAGAAACTCCAAAGCACGTCACCATGTTTTGACAGCGGTTCCTACGCTATGTCAACGATCCAGCAGCCAATTGGATTTACTGTCTGAGGCCCTAAACAGGAAGCTGGAAGAGGACTCAAGGGAGACTTATGTTTAGAGTGAGAATCCAGATTGTCCCCCTGTGTGGGTTTGGAACCGAGGAGTGGGGCGTGTTGGCCCATGCACACACACACACACACACACACACACACACACACACACACACACACACACACACACACACACACACACACACGGACACACACACACACACACACACACACACACACACACACAAACACACACACACACAGCTAACACGCTGGCTTTTGTAGCTCCATCTGACTGCTGCATTTTGAGGGTGTTGGTCATAGCAGTGGTGACTTTAAGAGAATGCAAGAGGGGTTGTTTTCAGGCTGGTGTGACCCTGGAAGCCAAATACTTCTTAAAACACACATGAGCTTCATCAGTTAAAGTGTTGGTGGAAACACTAACACCATCAGGTACTAGAGAGGAAGCATTGTTATACACACAGAGCAGACCCATGGTACCTTTTGGTCAATGCATACAGGCTTGATTTGTTAGTTGTCACCATCAGGTAGTGCTTCAATAGGTGTTTTTATCACAGTGCTAATCAGGCTTAAAGGGATATTAAAACATAGTTAGTTAACGTAAAAATGCTCCGTCATTGAGCTGCAACTCCTTACTTGGAAAACAGTTCTATTCATGATTCATGCCCTCATTACAGCCTTGCTATACATTCTGTTTTCAATGGCATCATAATGTTAATCTGCCTTACGACATGGAGCTACAATGTTGGTTATATATTGTCTGATAATGAACAGCACAGAGAGAATGAGGGTGTGAAGTCAATGACAAACCTTGTAGAATCGACCCATTCTGTTATTTGTAGTTATTTAAGTTATTTTTCTTACGTTTTCTCTATCTTTTTATCTGCAAGTAGGTTTCACAGCCTCCCTTCAAGATAGTGATGAATATTTTTTGATAGCAGAAAAAACAGTTGCTCATAAACCTACTAATGCTTTTGGGAAATTAGCAGTGTCCACTTAAGACAGAGAGAGAAATGACTGGAGATGCATTTATTGCATCTCCAGATGCAATAAATGGTGTTTAGATGGTGTTTGCATAAGGTTCATAGCTGAAAATCATCATGCATTGAGGGGATGTTTCCAAATGCTCAGCATTAAGCAAATTATTTTAACTTTGTTGTAAGCATTTTTTAATCTGATGCTGTTGTCTTACTTGCATTTAGACTCCCTAATAATCAGATAATCTCACAGTATTTGTGTGGGACGAAGAACGCAAAAAGTGAGTCAAAAGTCACTTTTTGCTGTCCTTTCCATTGTCGTCCCACATTTAACTCTTAATGTCTCAGTGTCTGATGTAGGGGAAGCTTTTTTTTTATTGTTAAATTGTCAAATCTTTATGTAGCTCGTGACTGTGAGCAAAGATTTGCATGAACGTGCATAGAGCTCAAAGGGGAAAAAGAAATGTCCCAGACATGAGGCAGGGCGCAGCGTGGGGATGAATGGGGCAGAGAACAGAGGTTGTGCTGCCGCCAGCAGTGCCTGCCTGTGGGCAGCCACTTCCTCCGCCTTACCAGAGCAAGCCTGCAGCCTTTCAGGCCCGCCAGAAATAGCCCTCACAATCAGCCTTTCATAAGGGGACAGAGTGACGTTGGGTCGCAGCCCTGGTCGTGGTGCATGGATGCCTCTTGTGTGTATGTGTGTGTGTGTTTGTGTGTAAGCACACAGGGGTGATCTGTTCTATTGTCTGCTACTCAGATGGCCTGCCTGCTTGGGCACTGCTGGCAAGAGCACATGGTTCATGTATATTTGCTGTATTACCTTGGTAACACGTATCCTCACATGGCCTGCAGGTTGTGATGAACATTAGCAGCATACTAACCACTTAACTAGCCAGCTTCTTTAGACCAAGGATATTACTTTGATTTTTTTGTGAAGGACCTAGCAGTAACACTTTTTGGTCCAAAAAGCATCATCTACAGATTCAAGATTCCAGCCTTAATGTCAACCACAGAGAGAAATGGCAAAAGCCAGAAAGGTGTATTAGTAGTATTTGCTGACAGGTAGCTCATTGCTGATATTACATTGCTTAGTAAGTGTGTGTAAGTGCATACTGTATAACACTGTCTGCTGTGCTAGATGCTTGTTATTAACAAGGGAGACGATGGCCCCAGGGCCCCAACCCTGCCCTCATTCCTACTCCCCAGATACAGAGAAGAGGGTGTCTGTATGTTCGGGGTTGGATAGACACAGATGCATCCTTCTACACACTTGCATCTTTAGAAAAACCACGTTTAAAGACATATTCTTTCGTCAACTTTTTCCCCAGATAACTTAATCTAAGATCCAAGGAATTTGGAGGATGGCTTTTTGTGATGTGGTAGTTCATCATCCTATAAATACATTTTATCTGCACCACAAGAGGCAAGAGGATGCTAATTGTTAAGCGCGAGCTTAAACAAAAAAAAAAAAGAAGTAATGTTTGTAGATTGCATCTTTTTGATCGAATTCAAGAACACACTGTGTTGTAGGTTGAAATAATGAAATGATCCCAACAGTTTAACAGTTTGTTTGTTTGAGTGTGGAGTGGTTGGGGATGCCCACTTTTCTTTTTGCTTTGATGGGGACCCTGGAATTCAGAGAATGTGGCTGTCCCATCTAAGGACAAAGGCTGACTCAGTGCTGTGCCGCTGTCAGTCTGTTGGAGCTCAGGGGAGCAATCTCTCCAATCCCCGAGGGGGTGATTCCAACATGTCAGGCGCAGTTTTGATTTGCAGATAGT